CCTCCCTCCCTCTTTCTCACCTGTTGGCCATTTGCTAACCTCTGTTAAATTTAAGACACAGGGCAGTTTAGAAAACACACTGATCGTGACTCCCCTTTGTTTTTCTTGTCATTTTTACAGGTGGGGATTTGTGAAAAGGGAAGACAGATGCAACACAGAGACATAAAAGAGGCAGACTGAAAGGACAGTCCTGAGTCATCCAGCCCAGACCTTTGGTATTAGCAGCAACCATGTTGCATAGGTCCTGTGTGTCAAGCTGGCAACTGCTTGGCAGCATTGTTGTCAGAATACTATCCTATCCTGTCCTGATGAAGTTGAATGCAGTTCAAGTTTATCTCTTTAGAGATGGCACACTCTTCACATGGGATGGTTTTAGAGACCCAGAAAATTAAAAAGTCAGACGGATGCAAATGTGTATACTATAAATGCATCCTTCCACAACTCTGTGCATCACCACAATGGTTCTTGACAGTGATTTTCTTAGCAAACAGCATATGCAAAGATAATAACCTCCCTGCTGATACTGGCAGATATCCTCCTTTCTGACAGACCCAGTTTCATTCACATGCACAACAGGAGGGGAAAGGATTGTTTTAAGCATACTTATTTTCTTTCTTGATTCACATCATTAAATGAGTACAAATAGGAAGGATTCCAAGCTGTTTACAAGAAGATCAGAGATGATTGTTCCAGTACTTAAAGGGTGGCTACAAAGGAGATGGAGACTCCCTTTTTACAAGGAGTCACATGGAAAATACACAAGGTCATGAGTACAAGTTACTCCTGGGGAGATTCTAATTGAACACAAAAAAATTTTCACAATGAGAAAAATCAGCCACTGGAATAATCTCCCCAGGGAGGCAGTAGGTTCCCCAACACTGGACACTTTTAAGATTCACCTGGACAGGGTGGTGTTCCATCTTGTCTAGACTGTGCTTTTGCCAGGAAAGTTGGACCAGATGATCCAACCTGGTATTCTATAATTTTATGATTTGAGCCAAAACTATCAGTCCAAGTGCTCTCAAACCTTAGGGTTCTTTTTATAAAGCTATGACTTCAAAAGCTGTGACCCAGTCCCATCTCTGCACTGGAGTGAATGTCAAATGAATACTAAGGACAGAAGCCCCATTCTAAGTTTTACTATGAGCTCCCACGGAGTGCTAGACACGAGAAATCTCCCTATCGGCATCAAACCTTCAAGACACAGGTAATATACATCATAAATTTGAGCTGAGAATTTAACTTTTAAGTGTTTTTCCTTTGAAAATCTTATTAAGCTCCTATGTCCTTCCCTTTCCAGACCACCCACACTTACCACCCACGAGCCTATGTATGGTCTTTAGAGGTCATCTGTCATTCACGGTATCATTCTAAGACCATAGAGGCTAAGCAAAAAAAAAAAAAAAAAAAAAAAAAAAAAAAAAATCACTTTAAACAGGTGCTTAATGGCAAAGATGCAATTAATATAATCAGAATATAACTAGAATTAATATTGATGTCTATGTGTTTGCTTCCTACTAAATGCCTGAAACTTGGTTATGTGTATAATTACAAAGGGGTGACTCCGTAGAGATGTGGAGATCGGACATTTGAGGGAAGGAATTCTGCCATAAAGGTATCAATGGGAGGTACATCATCAACTCCGACACACCAGCATGGCACTAGAGATGCTTATGTAAAACAGTCAAGCCAGTATCATCATCCAAAATGAAGCAGTGGATCAGGGAATATTGTAATGAAATTTCCAGCACTTGTTTCCATTTTTCTTTTTATTTCTTCAGATTATATTTAATATGTAGATTGAACCTGCTGAATAGATGAGTAGCAAGGAAGAATGTTCAAATCAGTCAAAGTAAAAGAAAATATCTTGGTGATTTCTTATTATATTCATACTCAGTCATATATTGTATTTTTTAAAGGATACTTGTGACTAATGCTTTCCTGCTCAGAGAGATGAGACCTCTACCTATGCCCTTAACATTTCTGGCTTTGATGATGGTCACCTCTTCTCTGACTAATCTAATGGTCACTCAGATAGAACTGCCACAGATAATCTTCCTTCCCTGCTACTATGGTCAGGGTCACCCCTTTACTGAATCCTCCCACTGACTCATCATTTGCAGCATTAAAGGAACTTGCTTCTTGTCCTCAGTTTCAGAAGACAAATTCAGATTCACTTTTTCTTGATTTTTTTTGTCATCTCTCAACCAATTGCTCTTTGCTTTCCTAACAAATTCTCTATGGAGATACATCTTTAACATTTTGTGTTTTTTTTGTTTTGTTTTTTGGGTTTTTTTTTCCTGTATTGTATAGTGAGCATGAAATTTGAAATGCTATCTTTAAACAGACTGAAAACCTGCTTTCTTCTCATTTGGCTCCATTCTTAAGACTTAGCTCCTATGCCTCTAGGTATCTCTCTTTAAGAAAATAAAATGATTTGTGATTGGGAACTCAATTTTACATTTATTTTTAAAATTTGAAATATGGTGTGATGATGGTCATGATATACATGTGTCTGAGGTTGACTTCACAATACTATTATTGTTATTACTTCTGTCATCTTTGATTTCCCCTTCTGTTGCAGCTTGCACTTGTTGAAACTTGTCCTAATTTCAGATCCAGATCCTACAATTTACACATCTGCTTACCTTAAGTCATCTGCGTATTCCCATTGATTCCAGTGAGAATACACACATACTTTAAATTAAGCACATATGCAAGATTTTTGGAACTAAATCATGGGAAGTAAAGTCTACTCGTTGTTATTTTTTTCCCAGCTTCAACAGCTAGCAGCTTCTGCAGGTGTTCAAACCTGCAGAGAATTAAAAACCATTGTTACTAAAGAAAAGACAGTCAGCTTGAAATTAGTAGGATTTGAAAGAAGGTCTTGACAATATTAAGAGAAATTTTTATAGCAATCATAGTAGTGTGAGCTTTCATAGCAAGGGTTGTTCCAAGACAGTAGAGCTGGCAACAACACAACTTTTTATTATCTTTTCTTTAGACAATACTCAGATCAGATGCAGTTTTTCTCCCTTATGTAAATTGATGTTGTCAAAAGTATGGGGCAGGAAGAGTAGATTAAATAGTAGTTTGCAATTTTTGATGGGGAAATACCCCAGTATAAGGGTGCTGGGTTATTGGGTAATTGGAAGGGACTTTGTTTCCTGAAAAACAAACACCAAAAGGACAGCAGAAGTTTCTGAGAAAAAAACAGGTGGAAAATCAGTTTGAAGAGTCATACATACTGTGAAGACTGACTACATTATTGTAATTTGTTCTTTTTATTTCTGTGTATTTTCTTTACATTTAAACTGTTACAACAAGGGCTGGAAAGAACTCAAATTTCAGTCTGCATTAAGTAGCATTGTACTGCACCTCTATTAAAAAAAAAAAAAAGAGAGAGAGAATTTTTAAGTTAATGTATTCTAAATCACATGTCACATGATATTTAAAATTATTTTAATTAATTTAAACCATTAAAATAATTATAATTATTAAAAAAAACCCCAACAAACGTGTCTTCTTTGTTTTTCCTTTGTTAATACAGGTTAGCAGTGGCAAAGTAAAATATGAGAGAAAATGAAAATGTGGGAAGATAACAATGATAGTTTTGCTTTGATTGAACATTTAATTATTCCAGAAATGCAACTTTAAAAAGATGATTCACGATGTAAGAAAGTCAAATAAAATGTTTCATTCTAGCACACCTTAAGCTCAGGTGTCAAAATATCATCATACCCAAAAGACAGAAATTCTAGCCTACCACTGTCTCTGCAGCTCTGTGGCCAATATCTGCATTATTTCTTTAGCCTGGAAAATGTCTCTGAAGAAGCAGGCTCACAGGGCAACTCAGATGGGGACAGACTGGAGGAGGTGGGAGGTCGAGCCCTGCACTCGCCTCATCCCTTGTGGCTTTCCCCAGGAGACTGCTCTTGTGCCCAGCAGCTGAGGAAAGAGCCCCTGCAGCTCCAGGTCCCTGTTGGGAATAGAAACCCAAAAGACAGAGAAAAAGAGAGGGAGATAAAAAGAAAAGCAGAGGAAGAAAACGATGTAACCTAGTGCTTCCCGGCATTGTCTCCTGAAAAAAGCCTGGTCTCAATCTTTTGCCTCACAGAAGTGTATGAGGTGATCTCAGACTTGGAAATCAGAAAATTAGATAAGCAAATTCATTTCTCTGCTAACTTAGAATTATTTCTGCTGGTATGTGATTTGCTGGTTTTATTCCTATAAGCTGTTGGTCACTTAATCTCTTTACGTTTTACAAAAAAATTTCCTGCTGTTCTACCTTTGAGCTGTTAGTATAAAATAACCACCTTTATGAAAGGAGCACAAAAGTGCACAGGGGTGAATGTGCTGGAGACCTGGAGCCACATTTTTTGACAGTCAGATTTCTGCCTTCTCATCTCTGACACCTTTCAGGCAGAGCAATAGAGATTAGTATGATCCGTTCCCCCTTCAGAGTATATTTATATTTACCATACAATAACCAACATTTTTTCTCATTATTCTATGAATACGACATTATCTGCAAACCATCATTGTTCTCTCTGATATGCGTTAAATATTTACAAAGAAACAAAAAGATATGGCATGCAGAAACAAGTTGACCCCATGGTACAAGAGTAAATAAGCTAATGTCTTTGGAGATTTCTTCAATTACTCTGGTTTTTAAACACAAGTCTCTTCTCAGTTGTGGAATACAAGAAGAGGGTTGCATTAGATTCAGGACAGGACCAAGTGAAATGTGCTTGTCCTGAATTTGTGAAGAGGTGAAGCAGGCTGGCTGTGCTGTTAACAGCTCTGGTTTTACTGGAGTTGGTGGGTTTTGGAGTGCTTTCTTCTACCTCACAGCACTCACCTATGTCATGTATCAAGGGAAAGAAATTACTTGACTACATACAGAGATATTAGGCAGTACCTGAAAGTATTCAGCCGGTTTGGATGGTGTCTGGAGTCTACATCTTCATAAAACTCATCTTTATCAAGGCCCAAGAATCTTCCTTTGTAGCTTATTCAGAAACCGCCCATAAGCCCAGAAGTTCAGAACAACCAAGAGTACAAAAATGCAGTTAAAAGTGCACATGATACACATGGAGGCTGCAGGGGAAACAGTCGCAGGAATTGTAAAGTTTGACAGAAAAAAACCCAACATCTTGCCCCATGTTAAGGGCACTTGGGAGGCTTATTTAACTTTCACTCTAGACATTTGCACACAATTTAATGTTATTATTTACAACATGATTGAATTGAAATGTGAATTTGCCATAGCAACCCAGGTTTGAAATGGAGCATACGTTGCTTTCCAAAATTACAGTACCTCACTAAAAAGGAGTAAAGAATAGTTCTCTGTGTAATCTGAACACTTGCAAAATGTTATTAACAAAACATGGCTTTAATAAACAACACATTTTCGCCAATGCTTAGAGTACATTTAATAAGAAAAGGTTGACATTACAAAAAAAAAATCATATATATTTATAAATATATATATAAAATGAACTATTTCACCTTAATCAATTTTTGACAAAAAAATTAAGACAGGTGTCACACAGCTGTTGATGGTAAGACCATGGCTCTGTGGGACATTTACATGATATGGGTGAGGTTATCTGTGCCACTTCCTCATTTCACTGAAAGAACTGAAACAGTGACAGGTCATACCCTCATTCATCCATTTTACTCTTTCCATTTAATCAGTACCGTTGCCAGAAAAATAATGGAGCATCCAGCAGATGACATAATTGCACATAAATAAATATTTATTCAAATCCCCTACTTGCAGTCACTTCCCACTAAAAAAATACCAGAGTCAGCTGGATTTCTGGAAAGCAGAAAGTGTCCAGAAGTTTTGCTAGGTTATGTTGAATTATGCTTGAAAATCTATATGTGTGTGTGTGTGTGAGTGTATCTGTGTGTATATCTCTCCATTCATATTATGTGATACAAAAGACTGCGGCTTGCACATCCACTTCACTTTTGTTTCTGTTATTCTCAGGTAGACATTGCTAATGGGATTTATGCTAAGCATAAGCATATATAAGATTTTCTATTATGGATATCAATTTTATAACTGATGTACTTTTTTTTTTTTTTTTCTTAAGGAGAGTTTGAAGATATTCAGCCATGTGTATGTTTAGCATGAGAAAAGAGCTATATAAAAATGACCAATCTTCTTGCCCTCATTATAAATTATTTCTTGTGATTAAAGTAACAATAAAAATAAGGCAAATCACAGCTATATGTTACCATTTTTAAAACCAAGTCAAGAACTCAAGCCTTGTAGCAAACAAATACTACAACAGGTGAGATAACCCATGTCTCTCCAAACACTTCTAGAGATGTGTAGGAATTTGTTTTCAATAGGAGGTAAACGGGAGCTTCTTCTGCACCTAATAGTGAAGAAGCAACCGGAAGCCTCTGGATTTCTGAATTGGTACACTACTGTAAGCTTTCTTTCACAATGTAGGCCAGCATAAAGGATAGAGGAAACTTGGGGTACAGTGGCTGCCAGATCTACTTTTATGCATCTCTAATATCCAGATTCAGTAGCAATGCAACTTCAGAGCTTAAAAGGCCAGTGGTGGGACCTATTCTGGACCTGCTTTTTGATGTACCAGATTTTTGTTGTACCGGAAGCCTTTACTGGCAATAGACGATGCCTGGATGCAGGGCTCAGAAGAGCTGACTCCTATTCCTCATGCACATAGGCACAGCTAACTTCTGGCGGACACACCAGCCCTGCTGGGGATCTATAGAGTCTTGGTCTGGCTGGTTGAACTCATCCACTTCAGACTTTCTGTTCATCGTAGAGACCTGGGAATCTGGACACAGCATTTTTGCAGATATTCTTGTCTTTTTCACTTTACTACTAATTCTTTCTTTCTGGATGTTACAAGATAATATTAGAACATGCTTCAGCCTCAAATATCAGTTTCCCATTTGAAATTCATGATATTGACTGAAAATTTCACAGGGCAAAAGCACATCCTATGGATTGGCTTAAATCCTCTATCCTTATTTTAGATTCTTGTAAATTAATGAAAACCACAGCAGGGTTCAATTCTGTTTTCCTTTTTAATCTAAAGATATTATTTGTTTTGTCTTAAATGGAAATGTGAGAAATACAAGAGAACACATTTAAGTGCTTTCTGAGGACAGCAAATGAACCTCAGCAGCAAAATCCTGCTGTATGTGAGGCTCTAAAATTACAATGCACAAGTGCTTTACTGGGATGTAAGTATAGGGGTGTAAAATTAGTTACATGTCCAAATGTGTGTAATCCAAGATGATATCCAGTCAAAAATGGCTAATGCATAAGGAAAGAATTATTCTCAAAATTTAAAGGAATCAGTTTATACTCCCATCCAAGATTTCTAGTGACATCACACACCATGAAACAATAAAATCTAATAAAGCTTATTCACTTCAACAGAAGTTGTAACGTATGTTCAGAAAGACCTTCCCTTATCACTGCTGCCTGACTTCAGCCTTGAAATACTAAATCTGACAATCGTTCACTTCTTTTTTACTTCTCTTTCTACCACATAGAACAGCATCTTTTTTTTTTTTTTTTTTCCCAGACTGCACTCACAACATGCATCAACCATACCAACACTCTGAAATATTTTATGTAGAGCATTCCCCATATTCACTGGGAAATACCAGAAACTGATGCAAGTCCTGATGTAAGTTTTCAATAAAATAATGAAACTAGATCCTAGCTAGCTGGGAACAGTGCACATTTGATTTCAGACTTCCATAATGCCATGGTTATAGGCAGTATAATTTCATGGTTCTCAGAATATGTGAAACTCAGGAGCTACTCAGAAACCTAAACTGCAACTCCTGGAGGTAAAGCGAAATATCTATTAGTTGCCCATATCAAAGTTTGTCTTCTCTAAAAGTATATACATTACAGAGTGATACTTGTGATACCTGACATATGGTCATCTCTTTTCGGGAATCGGTGCTATGTAAGTATTAAAAGGAATGTTCCATTTTCAACCTTACGCAAAGGCTGAGTCTTTTCTGGCCTTGGTATTCACAGAGTAAATTTATTAGTTTGAATTGTGTTTCTATTAATGCTAAAAGTCAGGAAAAAATGCCAGGACTGAACCCCATAATGCCTTGTTGTCCTATTTGGAAAAAATTTGCTTGTCTATACTTTAAGCTCCCTGGGACAAAGTCTGTCTTTCCAATGGTTTCAGACTGTGTACAAGACAACAGAAACAATGCTGGAATATAATAAATGCTTAATAATATGAACAGTGCCAGTGGATTCAGTCCTGGTCCATGTAATTGCAAAGTGTGTCCAGATGCTGCAATGATGCATACCTTGTAAATACATATAATGATAAACAGATAATAAAGGTTGAATTAAATAAGTCAAGTTTTGGCCTTGTTGCTGGCTGGCAGTTAGGGAGTGTATGTGAAATAAACCATCACCACAATTAGCACTGATTGGCACTTTACCATCTCCAAGGAGATCCCAGATGTTGACTCTCACTTTTGGGAATAGCCCCTCTGGGGCAGCATTCAAAGCATTGACAGTTTGGTGTAGTAAAGCCTTAATGTGTAATACCCAAAGTTGTTATGATTTGCCAGTTCATTTCAACTTTGGGAGCTGTCAGTTCAGCCCTTTTTCCAAAATGTAAAGGAAAAGTGCTTTTTAAATGGCTTATCTCACAGAATAATTGCAGAAGGATGGCCAGGTCCAACATTAAACTCAGGCACAGCTTTACTAGGTACCTAAAGGGAGATATAGGCCTTCCTAATTTATCAGCAACATGTTTATTTATCTCATGATGTCCCCTGTCTTGGGCTCTGCACAGACCTTCGTCTAAGATCAGCAGTGCATCCACCCTGTAAAAAAAGTTATTTAATTCTACTCAATTATGTAAAACAATTTAATTTATTGTAAACCAGCAGCAATGCAGGGTAACTGTAGGCTAGCCTGGATAAGAATTATCTTGGCTGTGCCAAAAGATTTCCGTCTGTTTCTTAATTCTCCACATTTCAAGTCTCCTCTGTAAGAACATTTGCCTGTTACTTATTCTGAAACTATAAATGATAGAGTTTCCACAAAGGTGTATCAATACCTACTTAAAGCTAAAGATGAACACAAGTGTTTGATGGCAATGTGATTCACTTGATAGGACTTTACTGATGTTTCTCTGGAGATCAAAAGATCCTGTGATGGAAGGTGTAACGACAATCCAAGATACTAGGGACAGTCATGTGGTGGTGTTCCCCATTTTCCTGGTTTCTTTTAAACACAGCACATGTAGACCTATTTGAAATAAAATGTAAGGACACTCCTGATATGGCAGCAGGCCTTTCTGCTAGGACTGGGCATTAATGGGTAGGAGTCTGCTACAATAAAGGGAGCTAGGAGACAGCTAAACGAAACATGAGACAAAAAAGGAAGTTCTTTGTGCTAAATGATTAAAGCTAAGGCATATCTTTGCCAAAGCATGCATACATCTTAGCATCCTACTTATTTGGGTGAAGAAACCCCCAAGTTCCACTTCTTGCATACTGAGAGATCAGCTCTGAGCCATCAATTATCCCCATCAATGTCCCCAGTACCACTGCTGTCACACGCGCAGCAAACCTGCCGCCCACCGAGGCCCACTTGAGAATCTGGATGCTGGTTTCTCCCAGAATTACATTTCTGAATGTGTGTGACACAACAGACTGCATTATAATGACTGCAGAGTTCAAAACTTGGCACCAGTGCCTGCTCTTTTTCCAAAGTCAAGTGTAAGGTCTTAGGTCCCTATTAATGAAAAATCCATCCCATGGCAGGATCACAGAAGAAGGAGGGCCTCAAATTATGAGCAGGATCTGTTATAAAAGCCATGTGTTCATGTAAAAATATGATGGAATATGGGCACAGAAAGTTACATGTGGATTTCACTAGATGCATAGGGATTCCTGGTATGCACGTAAATTTATATGTTGTACTTAGAGACACAATGCAAAGGGTCAGGAGGCTGTAAATATGTTTCCTTGCTGCATAAAGTAGGATGATAAACAATGACATGTTGAAATCCCTGAAAATAAGATTGAGGCCAAACTACGTCTTGCAGTAGGACAGCCAAAACCAACTCTCTGTGTATGGCCAATAGAGCTAAACAACTCAGCAAATTATGAAAGATGAAACACATGATATCTACCAAGTCTTACTTTTCTTTGCCCTGCCTAATGCTTTTGTTTCTAAAGAGTGCAACCAATTTCTCTTCTTTGATATATCAACTGTGCTCTCTGAACAACGTGGGGACCTGTTAAAAGGTTTTACCTAGCTGAGTATTTGATATAGGCTGCAGTACTAGTCAACACCTGTTATTTCCAGAAAGGCAGTTAAGCAGTCCTAAAATATGAATGCATACAAGGAATATGTTATTGTACTCAGGAAAAATAGTTGTTTTCCTAATGATCTCAGCAAGTTAACGTGCTCACTTTTATTTCTTTTTACTGTTTTAATAAAAGAGTTCAGGAAAAGTTAAGACAGAAGAAGCTTCCATCAGAAAATATCACCGTATTAATATCTCTAGCCTTAGCCAATTTATGTAAAGCCGACTATTCTCCTTTTTGTAGTATCTTTAATTTCCCATATATCTCTGTTCATTCTTTCATGGACTTTTTTTTTTTTTTTTTTTTTTTTGATAACAAGACAGGCTGAATTCATGCTGCTCACTTTCTGCAAGTTTTACTTGTAGCCTAACCTGCTCAGCTCCCTTTCTCTCACAACTGCATGTGTGCAGTCTTTGCCTACCGTTAATCCTCAGTGTGATGGTCTTTGTAAAAGAGACAATGCAGAAGTCATGAGAGAACTCTCTGGGAAGGAGATTTAAGGCTACTTTTGCAAGGCTGCTTTCAGAAGAGTCTTTTCTCCTTAGCATATGCATCGTTGTATTGTCAGGAAAGGCACGCAGAGGAGTGAAGCCAGAGCATACGGTCCTTTGGCAGTTCTGGATAAGAGCTTTGCTCTTTGAACTGCTTGAATTTGCCACAACTTATACCATCACAAAGCTTCTAAATTATGTCTAAAGCAGCTCCACTCTCTTTGGTACGGATTCGCATTAAAAAGCATGAAACATAAGCCATTGAGATTAAAACCGAGTCTTTCTCACCAACATGAAAACCTCAACAGTTCTATGCATGAAACACTCCCTGCAACAGCAGCTTTCAGCTTTTTACATTGTAAGCATGGCACAACAGCTGGAGGAAGCGTTAAGCCAGCTGATTCAAGGGACATCCAGGATCTACACATGTTGCTTAGATTTTACACATGATGATGAAGACAAATTTCAGCTTCAGAAGCAGAGCTTTACATTACATCATGAAAGAAATGCAGCTTACCTGCACTGCCAGACAAACATTGATGGTAAGGATCGCTTTAATGTTATAGAATAAGTTTTGTCAAAGTACAACAGCCGTCAATAACAGATAAAGGGAACTAAAGCTCCTTCGCTCAGATTTTACTTTCAAACGACCAGGATCTATAGGCAGAATGTGTGCAGTGGGGATCTTGGGAGCACGGAAATGGAGGGGATTAGAAACAGTTGTCACTGTCATTGTCTTCCATATACCTTGAGAGTTTCATTAAATGGTCGGTTAATTGCTGGTGCCAGTATAACAAGCAAGAGAGTGAAAATCTAAGTCTGATTGTACAGTCAAGAGGAGGAAAATAAACACCAGCAAAGCTGTAAATATGTCACAAAAAGTCAAAAAATGTATGTTTCCAGGGGAAGAGAAGGTTTCATTAAAATTATGACTTCACCTCTGGAAAAGAATTCAGTTAGAGCACAGGTGGTTGTCATAAAAATTGTGTATATTAAGAAAAATCACAGTGTTGTCTGTTGCAAAGTAGGAATAATTCTGTCTAATACCTTCTAAGCATCCCAACTGGCACGTTCTATTTAATAAACTGGAGTCATAAATACGTGTATAACCCCATGATGTATGTGTAATATTACTATGCATGTATAAAATGCTGTAAATGTAAGGGGGGTTTGTACAGTATCTGCTACGAGAAATCCACTCCTTCCTCTGAAAAAGCTTATCATTACAAAGACAAATAGGTTATAATTAACATGCATATACTGACATAAAGTCCAATTCTGCAAGATGTTGTAGAGCTTTCTGTCTTGCTGCTATCACTAGGACTGCAAATTCCTTCAAAACAGTTGCTTAAGCATTTTGCAGGAGATAAGTGTTCCTTCCATCCTTAACATTTTCAGAAAGAGAAATGAGTCTGTATTTCCATGGACAGATGGCTCAGACAACATAGCTAATGCTGTTTGGGATATACATGGGACAGCAGGATAAATGAGTTCCCTTTATATATCACCCAGTCAGAAAAAAAAAAAAAAAAATTATGAAAGGGCTCCCTCTGTCCTACCTTGCACAGAAGATGAGTGAGGAGGAGATGGCATTTGGGTTTTCTACTAAATGTAGTTGCAGGCTGGTTGTAAAATGACTGCTTTTACATGTGCATTTAAGAACATATGTATAGCTATGTATATTTTTCCCTCAGATACTAGGTAGGTGGTAATAAAACAGCTGAAGGATTTATGCAATTGCTTTTTGTCTATTATTTTTAATTTTCCAATCCACAAGGTTTGCCCATTCTGTTCTGTGAAGCTGCAGATGTTTGAGCTGTGACTCTCAGTACAACACACACTTCTGTTCTGAAAACTTGAACATTGTACTATTGTTGCCAGGAGGTCCTAAGCAGAAAACAAAACAAAACGAAACAAATAAATCAACTGTGATAAAAAACAACAACAACAACAACACAAATAAGAGCACTCTTCTCTTGCCATCTTGCAAAATAAAATCCCTCAGGCATGATTCATTAGTAAAACCAGCTATGGACAGTTAATAGTGTACATCTGGATCTAATGAACAAATGCACAGCCAAAGTCAATTTTTTCTTCTCATGGTTTAAGTGAAGTAATTCATCTGCACTTTAACAAAAGCTTTTATTTCCACATGAAGAGGTGTGCAGCCATTCAATCAGACATGATTGAAATAGTTTCAGTCAGTTAAATTGCCCAATATTTTCATGTTAACTTGGAAAAAAAATAGAAGAGAGCATGTGTGTGCTATTTTGACATAAGGAAACGTATGTCTCTACCTACAAGATGTTTAATTTATATAAATTTGTATACAAATATTTACAAATCTATTATACACAGAGAAAGTAATACACTGGCATTAATGTGAAACATCACAATGAATTAGGATCATAAATAATAGAAAGTGTATGCAGAGCAAAAAGCTGGGGATGTTCTTTACTCAGCTCTATAGCCTTCCAGGCAGATGAGCTCATTTTAAAAGCAGATGCTCCTGTCGACTAGAACAGAATTTCTGTTTAATTTTTTGAGTGGGTGTTCACTGTTTTCAGATGGCAGCAAGGATTTTTAGCAATGCTTCCCATCATTAATTGCTCTGCTTTTGTTGCACGTGTATCAGTAGAAATGGGAGGACCTGTGCTTAAGGAAAAAAGCTCAGTAAGAATTTCTCTCTGGCATGTACATATTTCAGTACCTCTAAGCGATGTAAGAAGGCTCACCGAAGTCAATAGAACTACTGACATGTTTAAAATAAAACACGTGTGTGATTGTTTGTAGAAATGCAATCCATGATTTTAATTATTTTTAACAGTGGCTTAACTCTAAATATCATACAGCTATCAAGTTGCTTTTATTTTACTCCTTTTTTTCTTGGAAGCATGCCACAATTCTTCCAAAGGAGATTTTGAATTAGTCTAGCATCACTGCTAAGCAGCACAGCAGAATATCAGGCACTTTTGTGGAGTTTTTCCAATTAATTTAGGATTTGCAGTTAAACATAGGTGACACAATTTAACTTATGAATACTCCATGAATCATTAAACAGCAAAATTTCAGTGGAGGAGTTCTTTTTCTTAAAAAAAAAAATAAAAAATTCAAACATATGCCAAACATTTACAGGATTGTTAGCAGCAAGTGGATTGAAGGAAAGCTGGACTACTGCAAATAAAGCAACTTTAGCTGATGGCTCATTTACATCATCAAATAACAGCTGATGACTTCTTCATATTCAGGTAGCCTTTACTGACTTTGTTACAGCCTCATACTCTTTTCGGTTTCTGAAAATCTCTTGCAGCAGGAGATCAATAATCTATGAAGGAGATGGGTATAGTAATTTTTTTTCTTGCTCTGGAACTTACACATTTTTTTATGCAAGAAATTCAGCTAGAGCTCTCAACTGTACAGGAAAAATAAATATTCTGTAAGATATATTTGTGTTGATAATTGGCATGACTCTTAGACGGTTCATTTTCTGTAAAGAACAAATCTTTAGGTTAAATAAAACTAATAAAAAGAGGAGAAAAAGTACTTTCATCTTTTTAGTTTAGCTTCCACATGTTGTAAAACAATCTGATATGACAACAATGGAAACTGGAAAAAAAAAAAATTTACATAATAGTGAAATATTTATATCCAACTATGTAAAAAGCTAATAGGACTAAATATTGACTTCACTGTCTTTATTCTTTCTAAATGTTGCCCAGAGTGGCACACAAGACCAAGAATTATTCAGTGGTCTAATAATGGAAATTCTGCACGCCTCCAGCTGGCCTTTCTTTGTGAGCCAGTAACTAAAATGGATTGTATTTTGGGTATGTTCATAATTTATTGGCTGATCTTGGCTTGTTCCCAATAGCTTTTTTTTTTTGATATGTACAGTTTTTATACAGCAGTTTTTATGTTGTCTTAGAAAAGCCTGAAGTCTAGCTTTCCATGCTACCAAATAGAAAACTGTAAAGATGTGAGTAGTATCTAATAGGAGCTAATACCATTCAAATTTTTGTGGCTGGGACAATTCTTCCTTGTTCCCAAAATGACATTCTACAGAATTTCCTTAAGTTATATTTTACTTCCTTTATCATATATGTTAGTGACTGAGATATGAATATATAAGGTATATGAAATATCAGATTCACTTCCTATTTGAAATACATGAAAGTACTGAAACACTGCAATAGGTAGGATAGGTTAACTGCTTCCAGACACTGCTTAGAGATCCAATGATCATAGGTGCTCTCATGAAAGTTCATTTATAATGAATACCCCAAAGTATTTCATTTACAATCACAATGCTTTATGATCATGACTATTTTTATTTTTATTTTTTTTAATAACCAAAAAGAAGTAACCAGTGATCTTATAGACGAAGGGACTAAATTTTTTTTTTCCTTTTTTTTTTTTAATTTTTAAAAAGAAGCATTGGCATAATTTTCAGCTTTGACTACTTTGGAGGACTAAATTAAGAATGGCAGGTATTTTAGGGGGGGCTCAGCTAATTGTATATCTGTAGATGTAATGAAGCTCTGAAATATTTCTTCCCCCTGGGAGGTAAGAGTGCTGACTATTACAATAGTTTACTTCTTTCATGCTTGACAGTTGAAGGGCTTTTTTAAATAATGGCAGGAAGTCCAGAGCTTTTCTATGTACTCCTTTTCTTTCGGTATGCCGGATGCCCTGGTACCAGAGAGCCTTTGAAACCTTCTCCTGTTTCTTCAACACCTGATGGTGATTGTTTGACAGGAGATTTACAGCTGACCTGAAACTTAAAGCTTTAAAATAGCTGAAGTTACAGAAGCTTGAAATGGTGCTGAATTCACCAGAGCGATAGTGTTATCATCATCCGATGTCTGCTGAACAGTGAAATGAGATGGTAATTTCTGCATTCCAGCAGTCAAATGTTCCTACCACCAAAAACACCAACACAACTCAAAGGAAAAGCTATTTAGAGGTCTTATCTTCCGGACATATTTGCATACGTTTGAGCTCTAACCACATCAGTAGCATTACTGGCTTTAATGGAATATCTCTTGTGATAGTTTATCACACATGTAAGAACTTGCAGGATGAAGGTCTTGGTTATCTCTGAGAGGAAGCAGTCCAAGAAATGCTGATCAGGGAAGAAGAGAGACTTCCTCTCCCCACTCTTGGAGACAGTCCATCCTGTTAGAGCCAAGAAGAAATGATGAAGCCAAGTGGTGTGTGAGGGCATCTCTACAAAATACCTGTGGCCTGAGCAGTGTTTTCTTTCACAGAATGGCAGAATCACAGAGTGGTTGATGTTGACAGGCACCACTGGAGATTATCTAGTCCAACCACCCCTGCTCAAGCAGAGTCAGCTGGAGCAGATTGCTCCGGACCATGTCCAGTTGGGTTATGAATATCTTCAAGGATGGAGACCTTATGACCCCACTGGAAAACCGGTGCCACTGTTTGATCAGTCTCACAGTAAAGAAGTTTTCTCTTATGTTCAGAGGGAGCCTCCTGTGTTTCAGTTTGTGCCCATTGCTTCTTGACCTGTTACTGGGCA